ATATTATATATAAATAATATTATGTTTTATCTCAAGGTTCCACCTCAATGCACTTTGCTTTTTTAAGTCAGTCAAGTAAAGCTGGTTTGAGGCAATATGAATTTGGCCGTCCCAGTAACAAAAAAATTCCAGGAATTGATACATATCCCCCAGCGTGATTTCGTAACACTTTCTAGTAAAAGTAAACAAACAAATATACATGATGATTTTTTTTAACAAAGACATTCCCATCATATTTGTTCTCAGATATCATACACTGGCTTAAAGTAGGTTGATGCGCTATGTGCTTAATTAACCCCCCATAACATAATCATAATCAAAAGAGATATCAGATCAGCAGAATGTGCGGGAACTCCATACCGACATCTGCGGCGGCCCGGGTCTTGTTGAGGACGTAGGAGTGGCTTGCTGGATTGTCGCCCACCAGGATCACGCTCAGATGGGGTCGTCGGTTGCCAGAGGAGACCCACTGTTCGACATCGAGGCGGGCCTCCTCCCGGATCTGCTTGGCTAGCTTCCTGCCAGATATCACCACCGCCTCCTGCCTGTATGAGGGGGGGGGGCGTGGCTCACAGTCACTCTCCTACGTTTTGGTAATTGGCACGAAACGATACCATACATGGGCAAAAACCGAATCATGAATCTGATGGAAGTCTAAAGTATATCACTGACAGGCCTGTGTGATGGTCAGGATCTTCACACACTTCTAAACTTAAAGCCAACAGGGTCCCACGCGAAAATTAAATCAATTGAGTTGGATGGTCACACTGGAGAATGTGGTGGCAAGTCAATTAAATCAGCTGAAACTGCAGCCGAATGCTAAGACATGGGTAATTTAAGCCATGTGCACCCTTGTTTGGGGTTAAACGTCCTCGTGACCATGAAACCATTCAGCTGCAAGCTAGGGCGTGTGGGGCAGCTGCAGAGCTGACGGCCAAGTGCAATCAGGTGTCGATTCTGACCACGAATAGAGGCCGGGGAGTTCACAGTATACAGAGCAGCTAAATATAGTGTTACCCATCACTTAACAGCCTGACCTAAGTAGGTAACAGGAGGCCTGAGAGATAAAATGCGGAAAAACCACAGCTCCAGGGTCCTGACGCCATTAACATCACCATAGCAACGGGATACGCCTCTTTAGTGGGGTAATGTGGCAAATGGCAAGTCGCTCATGGTTCCACTGCCAGTTGCAATTGCTGTAAACTGTGCAGTTATTCAGCATGGAGCAGTTGTCTGCTGGTCGGGGTGAATTACTGACCTAACAGCAATATTGGAGGTCATTTCATTTTTCATATCTTAGATACACAATTCTTCAAATTTACACCCTATTGTGTCAGCAACTGGTTCATGGTATAGTGAAAAGTGCAACCAAATAGCTCCATTTACAAAAAAATAAGAACATTAATAATACTCACTACCTTTGGTTAGAGCAGACATAATGATACAATACCCTGCTTAGATGTTGAATTTAACCATAATTTTTTCACTTTTTTCTCCATCCGTACTATGTAATGTAAAAATAACCATCTGTATTTAGTTCGTTATAACCCTATGCATCCACAAGCATTCCTCCGCACTATAAGTTAAAGCGGTGTCAATCCGTACTTTTCCACGTTGTTTCTATTTTAATGAGCAGCGAATTACATGAGGCGCTAGACATTTGTACAGGCCGTTAAACATATTCCTAATTTATGAGGGTCGATTAGCACTACTGAAGAACAAATATCCAAAAAACAGGGCAGGGTGAAGGAGTAAAGTCACAATGCCTTTCAGACGACAGCGGTGCGGGAAACTCCATATTATGAATGGAAACCTCAAACGCAGCAGAGGCGACCCGCACCACGCAAGGCTCTCCATTGATTTCATCATCCGCGACCCGAATATAGCGTGCTGGCTGAAGGGGGCGCAGTGCGCGAACCCCCAACACAAATGCATTTAACGTTACATAATATTATACGGGATGAATGCTGACACAAGCGGACGTTTCGGTTCTCGTTCATTCAGAATTCTTTCATTCACAACACGATCGGGCTGGCTAATCAGCTACAAGCAAGACATACATCGCGTCTCGGATCGTTAAAACTAGTGATGAAGCAGATTCGTAAGTGCTCACCTTAACACGGACAAATGAAAGCTGCATACTTGCTGTCGCGATTTCTGGCAGAACTTCCTCAGCGCTCTTACCGTGGCCATTATCTTCGCTTAGATTAATTGGAAATAAAGGTAAGACGGCCGGTTGCGAGAAATTCCTACCGGCAAGCTCAGAGGAAGGAAAAGAAGAAGTGCGCCGGCTCACCCGGCGCCGCTTAGAACGTATCTCAAATTACGTGCCTGGTCCCACCCACGACACACAGGGACCACCCTCTTTCCGCGGCCGCTCGCCGTCCGGGTAGCTAGAGGAGGCGTTTCGGGGACCTGAACTCGTGGTGTTAAGTTTTATAGCTGTACGATTTAACATATGCAGTTTATTTATACGTGCGGCAACTGCCTCACTAGCAAATTTAGTATATCAAGATATCGAAATGCTAAAATTAGATCGTAATTAAAGCAAGTGTGAAAAAAAAATCACATTTGGTATATTATTGTTTTACATATGCTGTACACGGTCATTTCCTTCCTATAGACCCCACATATTTTATGCATATTGGTGTGGGCTGCAAACCATTGTTTATTATCTTTTGAATGTCAGTTAAACCAAAACGTATATTTTCAGTATCAGTATAATCAATTTGTTTTCCGTTAAAGAGAGAACAGGACATACCTTTCACACAGTAAAAGCTATTTAAAATTACTAATCAGATATGGAAGGCTATCAGGATTGTTTTAATATGCATTAGCAATATTCATTCATTCAGTTAGTAATCACTGATCATCGGTTGCTTAAGCCTTACAGTAGACAGGTGACTGCGTGTACTATTGGCTTAATTAGTGGCTAGATTACTAGACTCTTTTAAAAATATGTATTTATATAGTGAACACTTTTACCCAGAGTGATGTATAACTGAGAATGCAGTGTCAGCCGGTCCCTGGAGTAATTGGGGTTATAGTCCTTCCTAAAGGGCACAGTAGTAAAATCAAATGCCAACCGTGGGATTTGGACCAGCAACCTTCCAATAAATGTCAAGCTTGCACTGACAAGCGTTTTAATAACAAATTACTAATTGTAGATGTGGAGATCTGTTTTGTTATATTGTTATGTCTCATTAACCATTTACTCACATGGCTGTTATACTGTATTCCCTTACATTATTTCTTGTGATAGTCCATTTCAGCCTGTCAGCAGCCATACCACCTGCGGTTCAGAGCAAGTAAGCCATCTGAAGCTAAGTAGGTTTGGGGCCTACCTAGTACTTGGATGGGAGATCAACTATAAAAGTGGGCTGCTGCTGGAAGAGGTGTTGGTGTGGCCAACAGGGAAGACTGCCCTTTGGTCAGTGTAGACCCCAGTGCATTGATGGGGACACTGTGCTGTAAAAATGGTGCCGTCCACCAGATGGGAATGTAAAACAAAGGTCCTGACGGTCTGAGGTCATAAGAGATCCCTGGGCATCCTTTGGAAGAGTAGGGGTGGTACCCCAATGTCCTGGCTAAATTAGCCTCTGTGACCCTTTCGAATCTGGCCTCCATATCATCCTCTATATCTATCTGGTGAATTCTCTCCTACCACTTTAGCTACTGTGTGGTGAGTCTACTGGTGCAGAATGGCTGCTGTTGCATCAAGCAGGTGGGTGCTGCACTGTGGTTGTGGCTGAACAGACTCCCCATTGGTTCTGTAAAGCACTTTGGGTGTCTTGAAAAATGCTATATACATGTGGTATTCATTCATTGAGTGTGCACTATAAACCCCTCCCCATATGGGATGTCTGATACTTTGATGGACTTCCCAGCTCAGATGACTTGGATATTCTGCATTTGATTTCCCTGCAGTCTCACAATAGCTTGCCTTTCGTTTGCTGTACGTAGCTGCCCCCTCTCTAACAACTATGTCTGGCGTAGTATTCATTATATCCATAATCCTACTATTATGCAGAGTCAATGCATTTAACTCTGTGCATCTAATGTTTTAATGATCAGATAAATCTTCCAGCCTTTTATCCGGATCAGGGCTGTGGGGGACCTGGAGCTTATCCCTGGAAGCATAGGTAATAAAGCTGGGGTACACCCTGGGTATAGTACCAATCCATTGCAGGGCATGTACATACACCATGGGCAATTCCTGACAGAACACCGGAACGGCTAAAACTTTTTTATTTCGAGTCGTGCCATCCAAATTCCGCTGGATCTCTTTATCCGACGATATGGCGATTAAAGCATGTGTTTCCTCGTTTGTCCATCCTTCCGTTTTACTTTTTTACATTTTTTTTTTTTTACTGCTTCTTTTTTTTTTTGTAAGTCCCACCGAAGTACCCCAGCTGGTTTGGCACTTTCGGTACTCGAACTTTCGGTACTGGTACTCGACCGGAAGTCATTGGAAAAGCGAAAGTACAGAAAGTACCGTACTTTGTGCGGTGGAAAAGCGCCCTTAGAGATGCCAAATATAGACTAACTGTATGTCACTGGACCGCTGGAGGACCGCTTTTCTGTGGTGAAAACATATAACCCCACACAGTACAGTTGGAATTCAGACCCCCGTCCTTGAAGGTGTGAGGCTTCGGTGCTAAATATTGAGCCACCACGCTAATCTCAGCTCTGCGTTTGTCTTGGAAATATTTGGAAGCTCGAAAATTATGTATAAACACAAAGCAGACACCACTTCAGAAAACGTTATGTCTCTTGTATAATACGGATGCAATGCTTAATTCCGCATTTTCTGCAGTATGAAGCATTTGGAAGAGAATTTAAAAAAAAAACACTTCATGACTAATTTTCTCCGAATCATAAACAGGAAAGCACCACCACCGTAGCATCTCTTCGACGTGCCCAATTCCATAACAACACCGGTGTCTCTGACGTCCCCGAAGCACAGGTCCGAATTCGGGCAAGCGGCAGCGGGCGTAAACTCTCGCGATAGCATGAGAAGTGTGACGCGCTCGCGGCGACTCGGGTCGGTGAACGTCCGTGGCAAGCCGTTGTTCCGAAAGTTAAGGATAAGTTCGCCTTTTCCGGAGTTACCCGCAGACGGCTTCGGTGCTCCGTGATTTTAGCTTGCCAGTTGTTGTCACCGCGTACTTTTGTTGGATTATTTTTTGTGGTTTTTGCTCAAATTTAGTTACCAACGATGAGCTTCCTATTGTAAGTACTGTCGAAACGGCAAGGCGAAAAAGAAAACTCTCTTCCTTCCTGCCGTAGCGTCCTTTCTTATTTATTTATTTAAGTTAAAAACAACGTCTATCTGGAAGATTATTTGTTGACAGCGGATTGCCCCCTTCCCCTAGCACGCCGTGTCGTGGTGTGTCGCTGTATTGTTATAATCCAGTCGTTCCCTAGCTAGAACTAAAAAGCTGTTTTGCTTATTCTCACCGCCTGTAAAAGTTGTCCGATGAAAAAAGTTGATTTCCCAGCCGCCGTCGCGGTCTTTCAGATATCATGTGTCGGTTAAAGGTGCTCTGTGATGGGTATAATAACCAGCCTTTTAAAGTGTCATTTGGTCGCGGTAATGCTATACACATTAGCCGCCTCCGCTAGCCGTCCGCCGCCGTAGTTTTAAAACAAGCGCATCTGCTGCTGACGCACATAGCCTGGATATATATATATTCGCATTAGTGTTGTTGTGGTGATGAGGAAATGTCTGCACAATATCCTTTTGAGACCCTAAAGCTCTCCGGTTTGAAGCTGAAGGAGTGTGGTTGAATAATGTCCTGGTAGCTATCCCTTGATTTAAAAATAGTTTTCTTATTCAAAACCGGTCAGTCACTTTCCATCTCACTGTACTGGTGTATTACATGCACGCCTTTTGTACAGAAAAAAATATTTTAATTGCTTGCCAAGAAAGTTGCTATGGGCAAGATGATGCGATGTTTCTTCCTCTTTATACTATTAGAAATTAAGTCCATGTGAGTCACACGTGAGAGTACTTCGCTTGAGTTTAATTTTGCAGTTATGTCTGTTTTGTTTACGCGTTGATAATGAGAAGACTGGAGTATATACAAATGAGCCTGCTTCATACACTTTGGGTCGGTCCGTTGTATGCGTTTAATTTCATTAGAACATGTCTTCAGTTTAAGGATTATCAGTTCACATTCTCTGTAAATGTTCATGTGTAATACCGCATAATTTCACTGACAATGACCCTCAAGGCAAAATAGAATAAGAGTATATATGGTGTAATTTTTTGGGTAAAGTCCACCATGAGCTGCCTTTAACAGAAAGTTGCGAACAACTCATTATGTCTGATAGTAATTTAATTTAAAAAGAAAAAAAAAAACAGAAGTCAATAAAAGCTCGGAAGAATCTTTTTCGATTTTGTGTTGTTAATTTTTCAGACTGTCCCCAGGTCTTCCATGTGTGATGTAATCTGAGAAAATGTGAGCTGCAGATGCATTAATTTTGTACTTCCAGCAGACCAGATCATTAAATACCACTAAGATCAAACTTTAATATCACACCCGTGTCTCCCCTGGGAATCTTTCCCACAAAAAGTGGCAGCCGCTCGTCGAAGACCTTCAAACCCAAGAAGAACATTCCTGAAGGCTCCCACCAATATGAGCTTCTAAAGCATGCTGAGGCCACGTTGGGCAGTGGGAACCTCCGCCAAGCAGTCATGTTACCTGAGGGGGAGGACCTTAATGAGTGGATTGCTGTGAACAGTGAGTCTGGGGGCTGGTGGCTAGGAAATGGATGCTGCCTTGTTGTGTACATATTTATAAATGCATAGGCTTCCACCTAAACGACAGAATAATAATAGTAGTAGTAATAAATGCAAGCACAGAACAACAGGTGTAAGGTTGCATCTGCCTTCTAATTTTGTTTTATTCTTACATTTTGAATCCTGGGGGCTTGTTTTCCTGTGCTTTTTCAGCTGTAGACTTCTTCAACCAGATCAACATGCTGTATGGCACCATCACAGAGTTCTGCACCGAGAGCAGCTGTGCCGTGATGTCTGCCGGGCCCCGGTGGGAGTGCAGGCTTGGGCAGTGGGCCCTGGCCTCTAAGCCCAGTTTGTCTGCGTGACTATAATAAACCCTCTTTCTGCCACAGCAACATCTCATTTCAGGATGAGCTTTTGACTGTGTTTTAGATTGTGTGTCTAACTTCCTTGTGGAACTTGGTTACTCTTTGTAAAACATGGTTTTGATTATTTATTTCTGTCCCGTATCTTTTGATATTTTCCCTACCTTCCAGTCTGGTACAGCCCTTACTCCCTCTCTGGCCCCTTTTCCTTTCCCCCCCAGGCTATTTTAGTCCTCTGACCCAGAGGCAGTGGCTTGTACTGACTTCCTGTTTATTATTAGTTTATTTTTCTTCTTCCTTTTTCTGTGCGCATGTGTGAATCTTATGCATTTCTTAAAATTAGCTTTGGTCAGCTAAACAGTAACTATGCATATTCGCCCACAGACTATTACAACCTCATATCTTTTTGGGTGTGCCAGACAAGCTAGAACCAGCATTAGAAAACTGCATTGAGGAAATGGTGTTTAGGCCCACCCACTGATTGAAAAATGATTGGAAAATGAAACGTGAATACCGGTTTTGTTTCATGCAAAATATGTGCCACATATATTGCTAGTCTAAAAAATAATGCTATCTTTTTCTTTTGTTCAACATCTGTTTGTATGTTTTCTTAGGTACATACAGTATATTCCGTGTATACAGTGTGACATAAATATTATGGTAATAGAGTTAAGTTCTTTAGTCCAGGAGTGTAAAATTGCAGTTGACACATGCACAGCCCAGCAGATTTGTTATAGGTGCCCTTTAAATTTGTGATTAGTCATTTTCTTCTGAAACGCCAGGAGCAATATATTGTTACTTTCCAATTAGAGCACCTTCTAAAGATGAAGTCTAAAGGAAACTTATCAGACCTTGCAGCCCTTAAAAACTGGAGTTCTTCCAACTCTGACAAGCTCTTTGTGTCGTCATCTGCCAGGTATGAGTATCACTGGGCTGATGGCACGAATATTAAGAAACCTATTAAGTGTTCTGCCCCAAAGTACATCGACTACCTCATGTCCTGGGTGCAGGATCAGCTGGATGACGAGACTCTCTTCCCATCCAAGATTGGTTAGTATATGGTAGAGCTGCTTCTCAGTAAAAGTCATTGAAAGTTACTGTGTAATCCTTCAGTGTTTCTGCCTCATGCCCTTCCTCCATAGCCTGTTATGGATGTTTGTTTTCTGTTCATTTGCTGATTGTCTGTCATGGGCTCTTCCTTTCCAGGTGTTCCTTTCCCCAAGAACTTCATGTCTGTGGCCAAAACCATCCTGAAGCGCCTCTTTCGGGTCTATGCTCACATCTACCACCAGCACTTTGACTCCGTCATTCAGCTTCAGGAGGAAGCCCACCTGAACACCTCCTTCAAACATTTCATCTTCTTTGTGCAGGTGAGATGGATGAACAAATGGGTACATATAGCACAAACTTGTTTTCTGTGATTTACTCTTCCAGTGCTGGGATGTGGTTGCGTGCCTTATATCCTCTGTACCCAACAAAACTAAACATGTATACCTTTATGACTACAGAGTAAATAAAATGTATATTCATGTAGCTCCTGATAATGTTCTCTTGATGCAACAAAGGGACCTGAATGATGGTGATTGTTCTTTTGTTAACATGGGAGGAACATGGATGTATAACTCAGCACGTTAGGGATCTGTGCCCATGTCTGGAAGGCTGTGGGTTCAAATCCCAGCTGAGTAATCATATCACCATTGGACCCTTGAGCAAGGTGTTTAACCCCAATTGCTCCAGCGACACTGTCTGGCCCTGCTTTGCTCTCTGTTGCTTTTGGACAAAGGTTTCTGGCAAATAAATGTACGTGATCCCTGATGATATCTCTATATTTCTGTAGGAGTTCAACCTGATTGACCGGCGAGAGTTGGCTCCCCTACAGGACCTGATAGAGAAGCTGGGTTCTAAGGACAGATAGACCTTCTCACTCAGCCTAAGCAACTTTTTCTCTCACTCTCGTTGCCTCAGAAAAGCCAGATAATCTCACTTTTTTGCCCCTTTCCATTCGGCCTCTGGTTGAGCAATCTATCCTTATTCCTAAATGCACATAACTCCATATCCCCTTGCCTGTTTTTACAACAGCATCTGTCTGTATCAACCTCATATCTAATGAATTTCTTGGACAATCCAGACAATCCAGCACATTTAATTTTTTTGAGTCAGCAAAATTCTTTTCAGGAGTTTTGGAGAGTGATTTCCCCCCTTTTTAGAATTGTATTTCATATCAAGATTTTAGTACATGAAATTCTTTAAATTGTCATATATATATATATATATATATATATATATATATATATATATATATATATATATATATATATATATATATATAATATAGAAAAGCAAATGTATAATTTTTGTAAGAGCTACATATTAATTTTTAAATCTCGGAACTACTTTTTTGTCATTGTGGACCAATATGTGTTATAACTGAAACCAGCAATGTCAATACCTTGGCAAAGAAGTATCTAAAATATAAATATCCACAATTTTTATAAAGGTTGGCAAGAGATTGTAAACTGGAAAATATTAGCTCTGAGACGTTATCTTTTTAGTAGACTGCAAAGCATTGCAAAGATTGATTTGAAATAAAATGAAAATCAGTTTACATAACATGTTGCCACCTAAATTCTCAGGACATTTTACTTGAGACCTTTGGAGTTTTTACTAACAATCATAGCAGGGACGTTTCAAATTTTAAAGCTTAAATTACCATTCAGTGTCAGTATAATGACACTCTATGGTACATCATTTGAATATTACAGACTTTCCAGGCCTTTTTCACCTGTAGCATCTTTTTATCTTCATGTAAAATGGTTTCTGTCTCTTCTGGTTTTTATCCATTATATATTTCCTTTTGGCAAGACATTTATATTTTAATATTTTTTATTATTTCAGAAGTTACTGTTGGAGCTCAGAACTTTTTATTTGTATGTTGATCAGTAGTTTTGAGTGACTTTATATTCTCGTTTTTTTGTTTTGTTCTCTTCAATTTTACATTATCCAGGTAATGATTTGATTTTTTTTTTTTTTTAGGCAAAATACTTTTTGCTTTTAAATTCTGTTGCTTAGTTGGTCAGTATACTTAAATCACAGAATTTCATAATATAATTTTGATTCAAGGGCACCATTCCCTCCCCCCCCCTCTTGACATAGATAGCCATTGACCTGGTATGTGCTTTCATGTTCTCTCATAAATGTGAACCTCACACTTGGTATTGAAACAGTGAAGACAAACTGCATTTTCGCGCCACAGGCAGGAAAATGGCTGGGACAGTATATGCCTTGATGGGAAGGAAACTCTACGCCGAACAACAATGTACCAGAAAACTGATTAAAGTTTGAATTTTTGTGTTTGATTAAACTTTATTTTTAGCGTAGTTGAAGGTTACTTTCACATTTAATCCTATTTCCCTTTGCTTTTTTGCATTTGATTTTAATTGTTTTATATATCATCAAATTAAACACAATGAGGCCTATAATTTTTAATGCATCATGCAGATAGACATTTTCGTAATTAGCTGGTCTATTGCTATAATTTCTTTTACCGTTGGTTTATATATTTTTAGTATATTACCTGTACATATCTGTGCCTTTGCAAAAATGTCTATATTGTGGAAAAAATAGCTGGATGAATTTTAAATAAACGTGACAGACCTGCTTATGGAAGTTTTTTGTTTCATTTATTGCATGTAAATTTAAAAAAACTTAAGTGGAATTATTTTACATTTGACCAAGTTGTACATAATATGACATGTCGATAGATCACCATTTTTATGAAATAGTTTATGAAAGTCAGATACAGGAATTTCTCATGATTATCAAAAGAAAATTACCCAAGTCTGAGATCAGGTGGACAGAAAACATAAAATATGGTACTGTAGATTGCGGACGGATGCAATGCAAGAACAGGATTACAATGCCTCCTTTCCGTGTTTCGGGTAGTTATTCAGAATGTCAGTTCGAATTTTCGTTTTGCTAACCGTAACCATTATTTAATCTGAACTCCAGACTGTTGCTATGGGAGCAACACACAGCTCGTGCCTACTCCTGACCCGGAAGTGAATCTGGTATCTGGCGGAAGACCCAGATTAAGGCATGCTGTAAACAAACCTAGTAAAAAATCAGTCCGGTTAGTATCCTGCAGTCAAACTATTACAAAGTGAAGTGGCTAGAAAAAGAAAGCTAATTTAATGTCGCTTCTCTTTTAAAACAACACGAGTAGGGTCCAGCTATCAGTTTGCTATGTTGAAATGTTACACACATCATTCAGTTAATGGGGCTTCATCATTGAACTGCTGTCATAGGGAAACTGGTACAGCCGCCTGATGAGGACTATGCCTCGTGTCGTTTATGGGGCCCTTGGACGGAATTGTGTGGCTTTCAGTCCGATCACATTCCATAGAAATACATCATGGATATTATCCCCTTTGTTCTGCCATATAGACACAAAGAAAGTGTGGATCAGTAGACGCGATCTTGTACCCAGCCGAGGTATATATTCGGAAAATGCGGTCAAACAGATGCGTAAACGTGTTCTTTCCACGGATGAGAAGTATGGGAATGCAGGACAGCAAATGCATGAAGTTAACCGGATTAAGAGGGTTTCAATAGAAGGAAACATTGGTAAGTCATCAGCTCTCCTTCAATCAAGAGCCACTGTGGGCTTTATGGAATCAGAGTGCTTTGTTATTAAGATGTAAATTTAATCCGTTGCAAAAGAACAGTATGCTATACATCATTACCTGCGGTACCTTTTGTCTGCGTGAATAACAGCGGTAGGGAAATCAACGTTTGCGAAGCTTCTTCGGTCTGCGAGTAAAGACTGGGAGGTCGTACCCGAGCCGGTCACCAAGTGGCAGAAAGTGGACACGTCCCAGGTGTGGACATGCGTCTTTGGAATAATGCTTGGCCAATTAACTGCCAGGAGGCCACCAAAGAGTAATTAAACGTCGTAGCCTAGCGTAGACTCAATTTCCTTACGCAGTGTGCTTCTTTATGTGGCTAATTCTCTTCTCAGCAATCCGCGAGCAACCTTCTGGATATGATGTACAAAGACCCGCAGCGCTGGGCTTACACTTTCCAGACCTTCTCATGTATGACTCGCCTGCGTACGCAGCTGCAGCTGCCTCCCCAGCGCCTACTCCGCGCACGCGCCACGCCTGTGCAGGTGTTTGAGCGTTCCGTCTACAGTGACAGGTAAAGATCACCATACCAAACTTAATTAATTTTGGGGGGCGCTATTTTTACTAACTTGCAGTGTATTTAATTTCCCTGCCCTTTTGCCACTTTTTGTTGTATACAGGTACATATTTGCACTCAACATGGTCCATCTGGGCTGTATCAGCTCTGTGGAGTGGGCTGTCTACCAAGACTGGCACTCGTTTCTGGTCGAGCAGTTTGGCCGGCGCTTGGAGTTGGAGGGAATCATTTATTTGAAGGCACCACCAGAGGTTCTTGTCCACCCCAACCTGTTTTTTTAATTTACTAAAATGTAAACTAACTGTTTCATAAAAATGACAGAATCGTTCACTTGAGTACTAAATTTTGGCAGCTGCAAGGAGTTCGAAAGTGGTTCATTTTGAGATCCTTAAGTGAACAGATCTCTGTGATTGTAGGTACACCACTGACAGCATTTAGCAGTAGTTATTACATTCTTAGGAATAGTACAAGGTGCTGATGGTAGACAGCAGTTGAAAGTTTTCCTGAGCATTAATCATTGGCTTTGTTCTCTTAAACTTGTTTCCCATGATGCTTCACTGCTGCCCACAGCTACATCTTACAGTTCCAGTTCCTGGGGTTGCTCTGGAAACAGAGTTCCAAAGTTTACATGCAGTCTCATACTGTAAACAGTCCTTTACCTTGTGAATGTAACATGGATATAAGCAAAACCTTGATTATAGAATATTTAGAGTTCACTAGGTAGTGTGTGAACAAGTTGCATTATTAACTTATGAGCAGGCTTTTGCATTGGAGGTTGCTAAGGAGGCTTGGTGTGTGTTTGTCATACAGATATGCCACAAGCGCCTGGGAAGGCGAGGCCGGGATGAGGAGAAGGGGGTGGAGTTGGCCTATCTGGAGAGGCTGCACACTCAGCATGAGAACTGGCTGGTACACAGGAGCACAGAGTAAGGGCCATTTCGCATGCTGGATGCTCATGCAAACACATTAAACATAAATACAAACATACTATTCATTCACAGGAATGCATACAAGCATTTCAATTATTGAGTGAATATAGTTGCATATCTAAGTATAAAAATAGATGTGAAATGACTCTAGATGCATTTACTTCATGATATATCCGATCAGTAGTTTTGACTGACAAATTACAATATAAACTTTAAAGTGATTTTTTTTATTAACCTGCTGAGTACTGAGGTATGAAAACAGCCACTTGGATACAGTCAGAAACACAGCCTAAAAAGCAGCTAGTTATTATAAATATGTAGGGCAATTATTTTCAAATTTTGAGTTTTCTATTGCGTTCCTTTAATTCTCTCATGTAGTTTAATGATCACTCCCAGTCCTTTTATTTCAAGATGTCCATTTAATTGCTAAGCTGTCATGTGTGACATCCCATACTGCTTATTGCAAAATGATTTAAGGTGAATTCTGAGAAGCTGTACTAGAAATTTGCATTATGTAGCAAATCAGTTTCATTTTTTTCCTTTTTGGTTGTAGACTGCACTTTGAGCAGCTGAAACGAGTGCCTGTACTTGTGTTGGATGCGAGTGTTGAGTTTGCCGAGGACTCGGACGTGCAGAAAGAGTTTATCATGCAGGTAACTGTCAACCAGTCTTAATTAAAAGCAGCTGCCCTACCATGTCGTTCAAATCCGCGCCACACGAGGGCGCCATTGTTCTTTGAAGGTTTTTGACTCTGCTCACCGTTCTTTATATACTTCTGTCCTCCACAGGTCACGAACTTCTTTAATTCCATTTGAAGGAGCCTTTGGTACAACGAGGGAAACAAGTATTGGAACAGTAAGCGACTGGTGGATACTGTGATGTCACTAAAAATGATATATATTAATGGTTCATACGCACAGATACATATTGCACAGATCCGGTATGTTGAAATTTTAATTCACAGACTTGAAGAGAAGAGCGTTACAAGATCTTTGGGAGCCAAAACTTAGTCTTTTTTTCACTAGCTCTCGTTTTCAAGGAGTAGTTTAATCTGTACGCCCTGTTACGCCGGTCTGTATTTTTTAAAAACGGTATTCTGAAAAACAGCACGACGTAAATTAAATCTAATTACACTAATTCACGTTCATGCTGCCATACGGATTTAAATATATGCATTGTATCTATAAGAAACTCATCCTTCCAGATTCATGTAATGTTTCCAGACCTGTTTCCTGTTACTTGTCATATTTCGTCTTTTTCATAAATTCAATAAACACCACACTTTACATATATTTTACGTATAGTATAGTATGGTCAATTTTACTTGCCCCGGGTGTGAAGGCGATTTGTTTTTGTTAATGTTGTTTTAATACACATTAATTTGGTTCGAACAGCAGGACACGAGAAAATTATTATTTCTCATTCGTGATTTTATAAGTTCATGGCTGATGGAATATTAGTAGGAAAAAAATGAATGAATAATTCTGTCTTCGTTTTATTTTTACTTTATTATATTTTTATTAAAACGAAAGCTCGGATGCGTGCAAATTAAATTTCTGTTGAGAGTTTTCGTGTTGTTTGCCAGTCTGCATTAGATGCGTTCGATCTGAATTGAATGATGCATTTAACATGTTTGAATGTTACGTTTAGATTCAAAGCAAATCATAAGTATGAAGAAGCCAAACCGCGTATAAAGCAATACTTAGTGTCCCGCTTACGAGAAAACTAACATCACCAGTGTCTTACACGAACTGTGACATTTAACACTCACCCTTTTCCGTTTTAAGATGAAATAATGGGAGATGCATGCTGCAGTGTCAGTTTGAATTTGTCCGAAAGAAAACCCTAAAATTAAGAATGAAAATACCCTTTTTTTAACTTTCTTGCTGCTTTGTTTTATCTTTAATCATTTAAAATGATTTAAACATGTAATTTAGGTCAATTCAATGCTGACCGTAGCATAGTTGTATGAGTTTGAATTTATTAATCTTAAAAGAAGTTGACCGTTTGAAGTTTTGTTTTGAGAATTTAATACTCATTGGAAATTAAGATTGTACAGTTATGAAGATGATGGGTTTCGGGGATTAAATTATGTTTAACGACGAAATTAAAGACGAAAATGGTAATTGGTGTTAAGACAAATTGATTGATCTATTGTCAGATCAGTGTCTTCAGAACTTCATAGCTTTCGAATTATCAAAATGTTAGTAAATATCATGTTTAAGCCTTTGATATCTTAACACGCATTTGTATATCAAACAGTACAAACGGATTTTGTATTATTGTCCCAATTCATTCATGCACTTCAAGTAACTGAATTGACGAGACTATATGACATTATGTGCGCTTGGTGGCAGCGCATCATGTAGATGCGAACCGTAGGCTGTGTTAACACAAACATATTAATACGATCATTTTAAAAAGTACAGGCCAACAGAAACATACTGCCTTTAGAAATAAAGAAAATGCTCATATAGTTTGATTCTTGAAATTAATGGCTCATTAATATCGAAATGTTGGCTCTGTTTTTGCTGGTGATTAGTGATGAAACACCAAACAGCAAGTGCAAACTGTTTTTTGTCGAAGATCGAAGTCCCTATAAATATATATTTTTAATTCATTCCCAATCAAGACGTGATGTTCACATTTAATTGTTTCGTCTCGAAATGCATTGTGTTGGGTCCAGATTTCATTTTATTTTGACCTCCCCTTATAAAGGGGCGTATACGTATTCGAGAAAGTAGTAACTAGTTTTTTACACCTTTTACTCTACGTCTTAAAACTGAACCAAACAATTACAAGTAATTAAGTACGCGTGCGTAGATCCTTTCTCTAGTCCGCCCCCATTTACTGATTTGTTTGACTAATATCACTGTCAAGGTGGCTTGTCAAAGGGGTCTCCAATATACAGCACAAAGGGATTTGGGTCTTCATACGTCATGAATATAAAAGCCTGGAGAGTTTCGAGAGACAATGAACTTGACAGATCTAACATTTTGTCCCACTTTGGAGGGGCACTACGGAGCACTTCAAAGCCCCGTGGATGACAGAGGTCATCAAAGGGCAGCTGTGCACTATAAATGCTCTTACTCGGGGGACAGGGCACTCGCAGCCTCAGTCTAAGCTAGACAGGCAAGGAGTAGGACGCTGAATACCCTTTTCTGCCTCTCGACTTTACGTTCTCTCTTGACGGTATTTGTTCACAAGCTGCATAAGCGGAATTACAAATAGCCGTAGACATGGGCACCTTCATACTCGCTGTTCTCGTCGCATCCTGGACCAGCGTCGGGGCTTCGGAGTCAGTTTCGCATCCCGGCTCCCTGGGACTCAGTGAGACATTATATCTGGACTCCTACGACCCCAAGCGCTCCTCTTTGACTCCGGGATCCGCTTTTGGATATACAAGCTCCCGGTACCACCCCAGCAGGTACCCGTTGTACATGATGCAGCTGTACCGCACCTTCAAGGCTGGGGATACGACGGCTGTCAGCTTCGTCAGCAGCAGCGGCGCAGACAACCCGGACTCCGTCCTAAGTCTGATAGCGAAAGGTAAGTCCAATTTTCAAAATATTTGCAAAAAAATTCTCTCTACCTGTGTGTGTGTGTATATATATATAGACACACACACACACACACACACACACACACACACACACACACACACAGGTAGAGAGAATTTTTTTTGCATTTTTTTACGCATCAGCTTGAAGGGTGAATTACATTTTAATGACATGCGTAAGGGGTTTATCGGACTATAATCTTTAGTCAACTACCGCATCTGTGTTTATCGGTAACTCCTGTTTTATCACCCGGGCTTGTCACGATGCTTATTCGACTTTAAAGGGGCTTTCTGTTTTATGTGAGTGGACTGTGTGTATTGGCAGGCTCCCAGACGTCTGTTACAAATGTGACCGCGCTGGAGGTTCAATACACAATTCTTTCCACCTCTAAATTTCTTTTCCCTGCGCCGCCGCAGCGTTTTGACGTTCGCTTTGTTCCCGCAGTAGCTCTGCTGAACACGAATTACTTTTACTGCGCTGTTTCTGCGGCTTTTAATTGTGTCGACGAAACCTACTCTTGCCGTGTCTGTCAAATTTTCACGATTTTTGCTTTATGGCTTATTATGGCATTCTCAAAGATTCCCACATTGCATGTGTTCTGATCTGCATTTGCTTTTCTCTGCTTCAGGTTGCCATCAGGTTGGTGACAAGTGGACCGTCACATTTGACATGTCCTCCATCTCCGCCAGTGACGATGTCCAGCTCTCTGAGCTGCGGATCCGACTGCCTGAGTTCAGCACCGCCAAGCATGCCACCGTGGACATCTATCACTCCCGAAGTCACCCCTGTTCCCCAGAGATGAAGCCTTGCCCTGAAGAGCGCCTCCTACTGGGAAGCTTCAACTCCTCTCCCAGCAGCATCAAGTCTTCCTGGAAGGTCTTCAATGTGACGGCGCTGCTCAGGTACTGGCTGCACCAGGGGGAATCCTCTCCTGGTCAGGTGGAGGCTGTGGAGGAGCCAGTGCCACAGGAGAACGAGGAACACCAGGAGGAGAAGGAGGATCCTGAGCACAGGCTGAGGCGCCCGACACAGAGGCGGGTCCAGCACCCAACTGCTGACCGGGTGATGATGGTGGTCTTCTCCAAGCACAGGAGAGAGCCACACGGCCAGCGCACCCCCACGCTCATCCGCACCGTAGAGCACTCCAAGTACGTGGGGCTGGACCGGGGCAGCCGGGACTCCCAGAACCGACGGCACAAGAGGAACCGCATGGAAAAGGAGCGGGTGCGAGCGGCAGGTGGCCCAGTGGTCACCCCACCCCCCGCGGAGACCAGCCAGCGCCCCCTGTGCCGGAAGGTGGACATGTGGGTGGACTTCGACCAGATTGGCTGGAACGAGTGGATCGTGTACCCCAAGCGTTACAATGCCTTCCGCTGCGAGGGTGAGTGCCCCACCCCAGTTGATGAGTCCTTCAAGCCGACCAACCACGCCTACATGCAGGTGAGACACAAATCTTATTTTTTAGAGCTTTAAGGACCTCATTTTCTTCACTTGGTTGACTGACTACTGCTTGAATATTAGTGTGGTTATCTCTCCATGTTCCATTTTTTATGCTGATTTTGCCTGTGTTGTTAAGTGCAGTGTTTCCCAATCCGGTTCTTGAGGACTCAGACAATCCACATTTTTGCTGGAAGGGAGTTTGGAGCCCTGCTGTGGGTCCCCGAGAACCGGACTTGGGAACACTGGTTTAGAGTGTCTTCACTGTGTGAATAACATCCTCTTGTCTCCCTTCTCTCTTGCAGAGCCTCCTGAAGCTCTATCACCCCGAGCGAGTGGCATGCCCGTCCTGCGTGCCCATCCGCCTCAGCCCGCTCTCCATGCTGTACTACGAGAATGAAGGCGTGGTCCTGCGTCACCATGAGGACATGATCGTGGAGGAGTGCGGTTGCCACTGACTGGGTGTGGCCTCCACCCCCCAATCCCATTGCCCCCCACCGTAAAGCAACTCCACAGTCACTTAAGCGGGTCACCAGTCAAAACTAAGAAGCTTACTGACAATCCCAGAGGTGCAAAACAAAACTTTATCCCTCAGGACTGGAACATACAAACATACCAAAGACCTTTGGTAGTTGGCACTCCTACCTTGTGTCCTGCAAGGTTATTATTTAAAGTTAACCTCCAGATGTGGGTAAATGCAAGTCACCCAAAGTAACTTTTTGATAGTTGTCATGACTGTGATAGCTCTTTATTTCTTCTGAAGTTTTGAAGGTTGACTTAAATCTTCGATCCTTATTTCACTCTTGTAATGTTAAATATTACAAGAATATATTTAAATATTTTGTGATTTTTTTTTCTTTGTTGTATAGAAATGTTTGTTGCATTGTTTTTCCATTCATAGTAAAAAAATATGTATTTTTAGAGTACTATGAAATTTCTGCTGAAATGTTCAGAGACAAGTTATACATTTTTGTACTTTCAATGCAACAGGAGAACTAAGGGAATCTAAAAATCATATGAATTTCATGAATAGTCCTTTTCGTAGGTCTTTGTTAAACAGGCTATATTAACACGTATGCTGATAATTCACAGTGTAATTAATTATATTTTTGTAAATGACATTGTAAAAAGAATATTAATAAAGCACAATATTTTATTGATTCAAAAGGTGTTACATTTTCATTCACTGTAAGTAGATGAGATCTGATTTCAAAAAAACAAATTTGGGAGAGTTGGAGGGGGTCAAATGAACACCACTGTGTTTTACCTTTTCAAGCTTTTTAATGCCATAATCTTACCAAAACAGCGTATTGTTACTTTACACTTACACACCTTTTCTGTCATCAAAAGTGTTAATGCAATATCCAGTAGCGTAGTGAGGTAGGACAGTCAGCACTTAAATGGAATGTTTTACAGTTCATTTCCCATTTGACTTCTGCTGTAATGCTTTTCAAAAGCTGGCAGAGGAAGGTGCTGACAGGATGGGTATTTTCATTGTACCATTCAACATAAATTACTCGCATAACACATTTGTTTAACATGCATTTAAATGATACATACAAATATCTGTATAGGTAGTGTGTAACATGTGCCTTTCTGCATTAAGGCGACGGCCAAGCAGATAATGAAATGGCACATTTCCATCCTTTGGGGCAGCAGGGAGGCAGCTGAGTGTGGATTTTGACGTTTAGGTTGGCAGCCATCCCCTGAAAAAGTGTTTATGGCCTCTGCGAGCAGCTGTCAAAGAGCCATTTACTCCCCCCCACCCCGGGCCATGTAACTGCATGGGAAGTCGTCAGCATCCTCGCAAAGTGCACAGCCACATGGTTTCCTATGCCGGGGGGGTTCAGACCCCAGGGCTGCAGGTTTCGGCGGGGGGGTGGGGGGCTAATGAGAGACAGAAAGAGGACTGCCGGAGGGGAGGGGAGGGGGGGGGCATCAGGAAGAGGTGGGCAGGAGAGTGGTAACAAGGTCCCTAATAAGGGGATAGACGGGATGTCCTGGGGTGGGGGTGGGGGGGGCTAACATTACGATGCCAAGAGGCTACTGTGTGCATGCGAGGGGCTCCTTCAAAGTGGCCCCCAAAAGTCACACTTCCCCATGTTCACTGCTGCACACCTCCCTGGAAAAGAGGACACGCTTGGTGCCCCTACTTTGTCAAAGCTTCCTTTCTGCGACCTGACCCCCCCACCCCCCACCAAAATCATTTTAGTTTCAATTGCCCTAAGGGGCCTTTCATCCAAAGGATCCCTGCATATTTTAATGCTCCGTCTTTGTTCATGCTGGACATTTTATTGCAGCACTTTAGCTAAGTGCCCCCCCTCAAGGATGCAGCTCCTCCTCGTGGGCCTTGAACCTGCAGCCTTTTTTTCAATATGAATGTAGGTATTCGACAACTACATGCTACCTATGGGCCCTATAGTGGGCTGTTGCAGTAGATCCAACTGATTGATCTGATTGGTTGAGGGAGTGCTCTGGGATTTACTTATCCTTTCATTGCACATTCAATACAGGTCATCTATCTATCCATCTCTCCTTCCCAACCACCAAATATGTGTGGGTCCTCCGGTTTCCTCTTGCCAGTGTGTCTCCTGCCTACGGCTCAGGGATCAACTCCACAGTCATTGTGCTGTAAAGTGGTTGTAGAAGATGGATATACTGATATACTATATTTTTTGGCAGTGGCCTAACTTATTTCCTTTAAACAGATTCATTTTTCAAGACATGGGGAGTAAAAGAGCCACAGATTATTGGCCAAAGATTGCTCAGTTGGTGAATCTCACATTTACCAAGATCTTACAATGAACCCCTGCAGAAATAAGGGTTGCATCTTAAACATGAAGGCCTTCAACCAGTCACCTGCAGTGGGGTGACCAGGACCACTGATCCCTGGGGGACACTGTACACTATAGGCCAGTCCCAAACCCCGAGCACCTCACCTGATAGCCCCGGGACACTGTAGTCTGGGCTGAGCTACCTGCCACGAGGGACGCTGTTAAACCCCGAAACTGGGCGTGAGCGTAATGGCAGCTGAGGGTCGCTAAGTGCCGTGGCTGGGGCAGGGCCCCCTGCCCACGCTTGTCCATGCAGTGAGGGGGGAGGCAGTGAACTTGCCCCGGCGTGCTTCCCCTTAGCCAGTCTCAAAGGCCAGCCAGGTGCTGCTACTTCTCCCAGAGATGCAAAATTTCACATACCCGCCCTCCCCCCACTGAATCCAGTTCTCACCTCCCACTGCCTGCCATTTTCAGGCTCTCCACATTCTCCAATACTAATAAACTAATTAATGGTTGTTTTTTGGAACAACCATTTTTTGGAGAGGTTGGACATTCAGATTTTTTCCAGCAATGCTAAAACAGAAAAGACCCGTCAACAAACTGCTGCTGCAAATTTGGAAGCATAGAATTGTCTGAAACATCTTTGTATGCCGAGTTATGATTAACCTTCCCTGGAACTAAGGGGCCTAAGCCAAACCGTGAAAAGCAACCCTCCTCCACCAAACATTACAGTGCACTAAGGCAGGCTGGTTCTCCTGGCATCCACCAAATCCAAATTCCTCCATCAGACTGCCAGATAGTAAAGCGTGACTCATCATTCCAGAGAACCTATTTGCACTGCCCCACAGTCCAGTGGTGATGTGCTTAATACCATTGGAGCTAATGCTTAGCATTGCACATCCTCAGGGAGTTTGAAACTCTCCTAAGGAAAGGCGATGTTTATAAGCCCCCTGCTCTGGCACTCTGTGCTCCCACCCTGCCACCTCTCCACGGCTCGGTGCGGATGCTCCCAGACGCTTCCACTTTACGATAACAGTGCTAACCGTGGACTGGGGCAGGTCTGACGGCAGAAGTTTGACGAACTGATTTGCTGCGATGGTGACATCCTGTGTAGCTCAGCTTTTCAGTATGACCAATTCTACTGCCAGTGTTTGTCTGTGGAAGTCACATTTGTGCTTGATTTTGTACACCTTTCAGCGATGAGTGTGGCTGAAACAGCTGAGCTGAATAATTGGAAGGGGTGTCCACCTGCCTTTGGCCAGGCAGTGTACATGTACAGACTATGGGCTAATTTCAATTAGCCTAACTGGACAGTGGGATGAAAGCACAGTACCCAGAGGTAACCTGTACTAAATGGAAGGACATGCAGTGTCCACACGCACAGTGAAGACAGAAGGGAGGACTGAGCGATGCTACCCACCGAGCCACTGTGCAGCTTGCTTTCCCAGCCCCATATTACACTAAAAATAAATAAATAAAATCTTCAGTCCAAACCTTGGAACAACATACTTCGACATTAAAGTAATTGCACACTGTTTTACTTGCATCAGTAGTGCTATATGTAATATTATAGTGACATACTTATAACATTTCTACAATCATACAAAATAATGACAGACTTCCATCCCCTCTAGGGGGTCCCCTTCCTCATGCACCCTGGCCTCAGGCATGCAGTGACCCTGTACTAGATAAGCAGGTATTGAAGATGGATGGATGGAGAGATGGATGGATGGATGGATGAATAATAATAATAATAATACATTTTATTTGTAAAGTTTGTATTATATTCAGCTTTAGCAGTTTACTCAAATATAATTGTCAATAAGCCATACTGTATTTACTGTATCGACACTGCCAGTTGTGGGTTTAATCTGAGCCGTAAAGGTTATGTTGAGCTGTAAATGTCATATCCTGTGACCCTTGTCTTGTAATGGAACAAATCCACTGACTGTCATGGCATGTCAATGTGGAATGCGGAAGCTGAAATAGTTGCAGTGATATATATGCATGAGCAAACATTCTAAAGGCTATCAGGAGGTATTAAAGGAAACGTGATGACAAACCAGGGCGGACTGCCGTTCACCTGCTTGGCCACCTGATGGCTCTCTGCAAAGGCACTGCTCAGCTCTCACTGCAATGAAGGTGCTGCTCTGAAAGTTCAAAGAGGTGTGAAAAAAAAATTAAAGTCAGGTCCCCTGGGCTGCCCCCACGCCTATAAGCGTCCCCACCCCACGATAAGCATCTACCCAGGTTTTGGAGGAGGAGGGCAAGAGACAAAACAGGGGGGGGGAGTATCTGTTGGTGGCAGGGCTGCTCCCTTCATCTGATATTCAGTAGGTGATTAGTCTGTTTTTCTGTTTTGTTTTTGCCAGGTGACTGGTTTGACGCCATCTTCTGGAATGACATCATGGTGGAGAATGCCAAAGTGACCCAACTTTCATAGACAATGAACCCACCTAATAATACTTGGGTGTCCAGTTCCTTTAATCTAAAGACAAGACAAGCATTTTAAAGCTTTCTTTGATGCATTTAGCATTCATTTGTATCAAGTAAGAACCCCCCCCAAGGGTTTCGCTTTTTAGAGGTGGTGGGTGGATCAGCAGGGTAGGCCTCTGTGCGTATGATTAGAAGGATGAAATCCAGTACTTGGCAGAGTAAACATGTCTCTGGGCCGGTAAGCAAGGGCTGAACCCCTATAAACACTGTGCACTGGATGTTCAGCTGATCCCAGCTCAGACCCTCAGACTTTGCTCTCACCTCTGTATGTGTGTGTGCCTTAAAAAAAGAGAGTGAGGTGGGATATGTGGCAAAACACAATACTAAGTGTCTGTTCTTATACTTGTACAAATATTCAGTCTGATTTTAAGGCTTATCTCCCTCTATAGCTGCATGTACATATACTTACTGCAAAACCAGCTGTCAATTTCCTCATGAACTGCACCTACTTCACCCAATGAGTAGGAAATCAAATTCATCATAATTAGGAGCGCTTAGAGGAAAGCTGAGCACAAAATTGCACAGCAATTTCCATCTCCCTGTACTCTGGTCAATAGATAAATATAAATATTTCTTTGTTTCTATTCACAGACCATTTGCAGAGAAAGTACACAATGCTATAGGTTTTTAAAAAGAAAATATTTCATATCAATATTACTTATTATTGTGGGAGTGTATATATGGTTAAAACCTGTAGAACCTGAAGTGCTTTATTACGTGTAGATTCAAACAAACTTTCCAAGTGATTTACTATCTAATCGTAACGACTGCTCTTGCGCCATCTACTGGATTCCGTACAAAATATTCGATTCTTCCAGAACTAAATGCATTCTGCCTCTTAACTTGCACATCATGGCTTTGGGATTCGGCA